ATTAACGCCCCCTCTTCAAATAAGCGAGCTCGTTTAAACTACCAAATGTAAATAGCGCTCCTGGCGCTAATTGAAGAATTGCAATAACCTTCCTGCCAGATCTATGAAAGGTAATACCGCTGTAAAGTTGCACACCCTGTGAGAGATTCCCTCCTCTTGCTGATCAGAGGAAGAGAGAAGAATCGCTGTCTCGCAAGGCAGTTTAAAGTGCTAACATTTATCTCTCCAATCTGTATAATCTGTTTAATTTTCCTTTAACTATATATAAAAAAAAAAGCAGCATTAAAAGAAGAAATGTTTAGAATTTTTGATCGCTCCAAAGAGGATGTCCCTGACGTGGAGGTTACGTTTTATTGGCAAACTTGACTTCCTGTGGATGCCGTGGAGCCGGTACAGCTACAGCATATCATTCCCTTAAGCTTTTCTCGGAAGGTTTTGTTAACCAGAGCGTACGCAAATGGGTTGACGGCGGAACTGAACAGTACTAGCATATGAATAACAGCGTATGTGAGTTCACTGACACTGAGGGATGTGTAGTAGTCTGCGTCGTGCGCAATTACGTCAGGCGCCCAACAGATTCCAAATATGGCAGTGACAGTTACCCCCATCAAAGTGACTCGCTTTCGCACTCTCAGGACGCCCTGTGTGTAGAGAGAGGCATAAATCAAATTTAGATAGTAGCAACAAAAGAATTGTCAAGAAAGGTCCTGCAAACAGAATAGATATCCCTAACGGCGCCACAATGACAATGTTCTCTGCGTACAAAGATACATCCATACAAACAGCCAGACAGACAGACAAGTATGCAAACTTCATTTACTCTCCAGTTTATACAGAGTAGCATTTCTTCTACCTAATGTTACAAATTGAAATCATACAAAAGAAGAATTAGAAGAGAGCCGACAAATTTATTTAAGTTAATTTGAGAATGGTGTTGAAATCTGTAACAGCGCGATATTGATTTAGAAGTGCGGTCCTGGACTAGGAACCTGGCAACTGAACTAACGGAAATAAAGTATTCAGTAGCTGATATTTTTGGCAAGGTGAAAATATCAGTTTCTCTTAAAGTGCTACCATGATGAAATTCTCGATATCCATTCTTTTTTTACATTTTCGTACACAATAGGTCTTTCCTACTTCAGTCTATTACGAACATTAGCACGCGCGGTTTTTGGATCTTTACTTCCGAGAATTTACGGCCGCCATTAATCTTCCTTGTTCCAAGTCTTGGTTAAGAATTTGAGAAAATGATATCATTTTCTCAAAAATACTGGACGGGTTGAAATCAGTTATGATAAAAATCAATGTCGAAAATTGCACGAATATTTTTGTATTTAAGGCGGTACGATGGACGCAGTGCAATGTCCACCGACCATAGAGGCATAGATAAAAGTACCGCCAAGGAGGGGGAGCACCCTCATACGAGGCCGGCTCGCCAACTTCGCCGGGGAGTCGAACCCCGCCCCACCGTAGAAAGACAAAAGACAATAAACACAATTTAAAACGTTAACCCATGCAATAAAAGCGAGAAAAGAAAGACTGGTTAAAAAATGCTAGCTCAGTACATCCAACAAAGGCGACCACGACTAGGGAAAGAGACGTGTAATAAAAACGAGGAAAGCAAAAAGTTCTAGATAAAGCCAGGCGCTCAAAA